GGTGGGGGGGTGGGAGTGGAAGGCAGGCAGGAGACAGATGGTGTTAGGTGTGTGAGGAGGGGACCAAGGTAGTGGGTCCGGGGATGGAGCAGTGGTGGCCCTGGCTGTTCCCCGTCCTGGAGGGTGCTCCCTGGCCTGGCTTCCCATAGCACTGTGCACTGGCATGTGGCTGAGGAGGGCTCATCCCCATGCCCTGGAGCGGCGGTTGAGGGGCCAGGAGGTGTGCAGGGAGCAGGGATGCTTTTCCACCTTCATTGCTACCTCCTCAACTCCTGGCAAATGCTAGCCCAGCCTCCAGGCTGCCTGAGGGCACCTGTCCCCATCCCTGGGGGGGGGAGGCTGCAGGCAGGACACGAAGCAACAGTGGCTTGTCCCTCACCCTGGGGAGGAGGTGAGTGGGATTGTGCACCCAAGCAGCTCCATCCCCTCTTGTGTGCAGCAGAGGGAGGTGAGATGTGCAAGCAGGAGCAAATGAGGAGCAAATTCTTGATGCCTTGAGTATTTAAAAGCCAGTGTGGCATGAAATCCTCTGGGATCTGAACCCCTTTTTGCCACACTGATGGGTTGGAATAGAAAAAAAAAAAAAAATCACCTTTATTCCTATCCTCACCCTTTGGCAAGAGTAGTACATGGGATGCTCCTGGAGGCCCCCCCCCCAACCCTGCCTGCAGCAGGATTTACAGGGCCACTTGGGTTGTGGTGTGACAAGCTGGTTGACGAAGGCTTTGAAAGGCTTTGCCTTATCTGCTCATCCTTGCCATCCACAACTGGTCCCACGCACTCGCTGTGCTGCCAGGCTAAGGTCCCACCACCCCGGGCCATCTGCCACTGCCGGTGGCCCCATTTTCCCATTGCTCCCTCCTGAGCACCAGGACTCAGCCTGCTGAAATCTCCATCTAGATGAGATTACTGGGCACAGTCTGGAGCTCAGGTTGCCAGCAAGGTTTTTCACATCCCCTCATTTAGCTTTTTGAAGTCCTAGGCAGGGGACAAAGCTCTGTGGAAAATAAAACCGGGAGAGGGTGGGGAGGCCGGCATGAGCTAAGGGTGTGTGCCGAGGTTGGGGGAAGGTTTCACTGTACTGAGAGCCCTGTGTGGGTGTAGGCAGCACTCACCCATCCTGCTATGGCCCCAGCTCCTTGAGGAGGACCTGCCCTGCAGTGCCTTCCCATCTGAATGTGTCCTTGCTGCTAGACAGCCACAGGTTGCCCACACAGGAGAGTCCACCTGAGCATCAGTTAGAGGCTTGCTTGCCAAAACACCAAGGCGTGCCATGGAGCTCCCTAGGGAGTGTGAGATGATGTCTTCAGGAGCTGAGCAGCTGATTTAACTCCTGGAAGGCTTCATGCTGGGTGAATTGGTTTTGCTAGGTGTTGGGACACTACTTTGCCCTGCTAAGGCTAGGAGACAGCCACTCTTTTCTGCTCAGCCTAATACATCGGGCATGATGGAGGAAGAAGAGCAGTTCAAGGACATATTAGCAATGTGGCTGGTAGCCAGGCATGGACTGAGGTGAGGTGTGGTCTACAAAGAGCATCGTGGCACATAAGGACCTTCCATCTCTCCCCTGCCATGCATAGGGATGGAATTTGGCCGAGCTGTGAAAAGAACCTGCAGGAGAAGGGCCATGAGTGTCTCCCACAGCATCACCCACCACCCTGCACAGGGCTGCGAGCCTGTGGCCACCCCCAGCCCAGCCTGCTTTGATCAACTGAAATAAAGGCCAACACGACCAGGCAGTTCTAGGGTATTTGAGCTTTTCTCCAGTCTGTCAGGGGAAACTCAGACCCATCAGCTGAGGTAGGCCCTCATAGAGCAGCCATTGCTCTCCCCACACTTCCTTCAGCCTTTTGCTGCTCCTGTGGCCCTATGGGGATTCTTCCCAGCCTACAGATGGGCCCAGTAAGTGCTGGGGGGCCACTGCCAGGACCTCCTGAAGGGGCTTTCCTCCCTTGTTGCCAACACTGAGAGGTCCTCCCCAGCTACAGCCCTGACTGATGGCTGCAGGGGGTGGGGGGTGTGCTTCCAGGGGAGAGCAAAGGGGACAGAAGCAGCAGGACACACTAGCTGAGAAACCCTTGGGAAGAGGCAACATTAAATTGCACCTCACTGGGGAGAAGCTGCCCCCATTTCAAGTGGCTCCTCTCGCTGGACATGGCTTTGTGAAAGTTGTGACAGCATCCAGACGCCAGAGCAACAGGCCCAGGCCCGGGGAGAGGACAGCCCTGCCCCAGTGACCTGGACCCACGCCTGGTCCCAGCTCCTACATACAGACACCACCTGACCCCACACCCCCCAAGCAACAGCCCAAAGCCTGGACCACTTCTACCTCCACAAGCACATCCAGAGGCACCCACCCAGCCCATGGCACAGGCAAAGCAGGGCCAGGCAACTGTGGAGGAACAGAAAGCAAGATCCTTTATTGTACACAGTACAGAATGTAATGCAGCTTTGCAGGAGATACATAGCCCTGCTCAAGTAAAGATTATTTCAAATCAGTCCTCAGATTAACCCCTTCTACACTGTAGACCTTGCCCCACCAAGGGATTGTCCCCGAGGTGAGGTTCCTACAAGCAAATTCTCCCCAGGGGTACAGGCCACTGCAGCCACTGTGGGGAGAGCAACTAAGTCTACCCAGAGTTAATCTTCATACTTTCCCAAAAAAGAATGAATCAGTCAAAAAACAACAACAACAAAAAAAAAATCCAACCAAAGCTAACTAAGGAAGAGAAAAAAATTTCCTATACAGCATTTACAACAAAAACATGTAGCCAGTGGGGGTTGGGGGATAGGCAGGTATGGATATATGAGTGGTGGAGGAATGTTAGGAGGTGCAGCAGGGAGTGGGGAGCTGGAGGGAAGGGAGGTGGGGGACCCCGCTGTCCCTGCCTGCCACAGCCTCACAGCCCAGCTCCGAGGCCATGCTGAGCAGGGGAGGAGCGCAGCAGAGCTGGCACCGGGGTTCAGCCCCAGCTCCCCCAGGAAAGAGGACTTAAGCGGTGAAATGGAGTGGACCAGATACTTTGGCAGCCATCCTGGGGAGGCGCGGGCACCGAGGGCTGCCCCTGCAAGCGTGCCACTGGGAAAGCCGGGGGGATGTCCCCAGGGGCTCCGGGAACAGCAGCCAGGCTGCAAAAAATAGCTTTGCCTTAAAATACAAAAAATGCTGTAGTGCTGCAAAAACCCCACAGTGCTTAGCCTGGTCTTGTCTCAGAGGAAACACTATTTAAACACATGATCACTCATAGTACTTAGATAATGAATGCAGGATTAAAAGAAAAGTCTCCATGTCTGGATACACCAGTGCTTTAGGCAACAGGAAAATAATATTTCAAGGTTGGAAGATACAAATGTGTGAAAAAGAAGTCCCCCTTTTTTGCACACAGCTGGTGCTTGTAGCCAGGCTTGGATATTTATGTTCAGGCTCAAGATACTCCTTAGCTCCTGAGCCTCTTGAGCAGCTGCCTGAGGAGCTCCCTTGGGCAGTCCAGCCTTTCACTGCTTCTGGGACTGCACTCTGTCCCAAATACTCCCTTTTCTCAATGCCATATTTACTTTTTTTAGCAGCAAGACTGGCCTTTTTCATCTGTTGCTTGCTGGAAGCAATAGCAGAACAGATTTATATCTTTCCTCTCAAAAACAATGGCTTTTGGCTCACATGCTTGACCACCCCCCTCCCAGCCCTTACGCCTGGTCGTTTAGTCACCCATACCATGGCTGATAAATGTTGCATATGAGTAAAAATGACATTATAGTGCTACAGCACTGCTGAGTCTGCACAGGTCTCCACTAATGAGGGGGAGGCTTAGGTACACCGATGGGGGCTGGATGCCTCCATACCCTACTGGCCCAGGCTTACTCAACTACTTCATCATTATTATTTGCTTATTCAATAATATTTTCACTTTTTCATCTCATTTCTCTTAACATTTCTATCTCTGCATCCTTCTGTGGGAAAGGAGGCAGAGGCAACCTTGGAGCTGCTGCTGCTAAATCTGTGCCCAGGACTCCCTCATGTGACAGCAGTTTCTATACGTGTCTCTCATGCAGCTGGGATGTATCTGCTGGAAAGGGCTGACACTAGGTCTCTTGGCCACTGTGACGTGTCCCTGGACTGTGGGTACACCATATCATCAGCTGCCACCCCAATGGTAAAGGGATAAATGTGCAACAGACCCAAGAAGAGGTTGACCAAGGGGCTTGTCCTGGTGCTACCACGTGGCAAACTGGGTGAAATTA